AGTTGGTGTTCTCGAACCTCTCTGTTTCTTCTGTTAGAATGAATCTGTCCTATAAGAAAGGTGACCTTAGATGTTGGACATGGCAGTTACAGTGGTGGCTTGTTTCCTTGGATAGACTCACATTGGACCAGTTCCAGGCAGCAGGCTTTTGGTGGGGACACAGTGTGCTGACAGTCCCTCTCCACACATATTGGTAGCACAACTTTTAACTTTTATGGAAAAGTATCCAATGTGACTCCAGGAACAGGGTTTTGCTCAAAGGAGAACCGAGTTTTAGATGAAGGCTATTGAGGTCTAGATGATGATAGAATGATAGTGAATAAAATTAAATACTGACTGTATGGTTTGACCTTCCTTAACAATTGGTTGTCTTAACATTACATCTGCACAATCTCAATTTCTCTCTGAGAGGAACCTCTTTTTCTCAAATTCAGGTTATTAGAATTTAGGGAGGGTGTGTGCTGTTGGGAGCAGAGCTGTTTGACTTAAAATGTCATCCCATTCTGAGAAAACATGCTGGGGCCACGTTAGGGCATCCCTGTGCAAATGTCACACTGTCAATGTCTCCCCTGGGATTAGACTAGCCATGGTACTTTTCATCCTGTCTGGGTGGTCAGACAAAGCCACTGGACTCCTTACTGCCAGGGCACCAACCCTGCCAGGGTCATGCTCTCTGAGATTACATGGAATTTGATTTGTCACAAACTCTCTGAATTTTAAGGTGCTAATTATTGGCTGATTGGTATTCTGTTCCTCAGCTGTCACCTAGTGATTTCCCAGAGCTTATGCCTCTTGTTAAATTTACTTTGCTTATGCCTGGCAAATATGACAGCATTTGACACACATACATGAACAGGTATGGTGAAAAGTGTGTTGTGTTTTGAGTGTGTGTGAGTTAGGCCACAGAAGTATAGATTTCTATATAGAGAGAGCTTTTCTTTCTTTTTTTTTTTTTTTAAAGATTTATTTATTTATGCATACAGAACTGGCCCAGAGATGCAGGGGTGGGTGAAAGGACTCACCAGAGATAGAGTAGGGAGCAGAACAGGCAGATTGATAAAGTACACTGCTGAGGGAGCAGTGGACGAGATAGGAGAGGTCTGCCACACCACGTAGGTTTCCTCGCTGGTGAGGGTTTAAATTTGTGCTGCAGCAGCTGCAGATAGCTTCACAGGGCTGTGCCTTAACCTGTTGCACTACCAGGGAGGGTCCTAGTGATCTTCTCATTTTATGAAAACCTAGAGTATAAATTGAGAAAAGGATAGGAAAACGAACAAAAATGAATAGACAAAATTAATCTCAATTCTGTTGCAAACTTTTTTTTTTTTTTTAAGATTTACTTATTTATGCATATAGAACTGGGGTATAGGCCAGAGGTGCCTGGTGGTGAGAGGCTTCACAGTGGGGGGCAGAACAGGCAGATCAAGGAAACACACTGCTGAGGGGAGCAGCGGGCGGGTCAGGAGCCATGTGGTCACCTCCAGGGCAAGCTGGGATTGAACTCATGCTGAAGTGGCTTTAGCTTCTTAGTGCTGTGCTTTTAACCCGCTGCGCCACCAGAGAGTGCCGCTGTTGCAAACTTTTAATATTCCTTCATTAATCAAATCATGTTGAGTATATATTATGTGCCAGATACTGTCCTAGAGCATGTAGTTTCAGTAAGGAGCAGAATGGATGTGTTATTTGTAGAATGTATGGTCCGATAGACTTTCACCTGCATTTTGACAATTTCTAGGTACATAACAAAAAACTGAGACTTATTCTGACCATCTGCTTATGTACTAACTATGCCAGGGTTTCAAAAATTCTGAAAATCTCTGTAATAAATACATATAAATTGAAATAGAACTTTAGAGAATATATCTGAGAAGTGTTGCAGGGATTGTTCTGCTCTCCTTGTGAGGGTTTAAATCAGTGTGTAGATTCTCAACTAATTCAATATGCTTAAAATATTCATTTATCAAGTTATTTAACCAGGGCTCTGTTTCCCAGCTGTCTGGTTTTCACTTATACATAGAAAAAGGTTTCAGAATCTTCTCCTAGTTTAAAATTGACTGTCATTTGAAAGAATGTTGCAGTATTTGTCTGCAGTAACAGCTTACCGAACATATCATAAAAATTAAAAATGAGAACCAAATTTATTGTGTCTTTATTCGTGAGTCTGTTTTCACTCCTGAATGAACAGACTTCTTTCCTAGGTATGTGGGTAATTGTGAAAGACTTAAATGTCAGTAACCAATCCCTTAAAATGGCCGTCAAGTCTGGGGAGTTCTGCAGAATGTAATAGTGGAGGCAGATCCCACAGTTCTGGACGTGTTGCCTAAAGTAAGATGCAGTTGGGTGCAGTGATAAGTTTCAATTGGGAGAAGATGAATCACAATCAAAGGGAGTTTCTATATTTGAAAAAAATGTTTGTTTAAACTCAAACTGTTCTTTAAGGGAGCTGGGGAATATGTAGTGGCTTGGAAGTGTTTGGTAAAGATTTTCTGGAGTCTATTCTCTGAAAAACCACCAAGATGAATCTCTGTTATTGGCTTATACTGCTCTTCTTCCATGTTTATGTCTTTTAGGAGCAGCTAAAGCCCAAACCTATTTGGATACATTCAAATGTAATTCATGTCTTGCAGGAGGTCACATGCAGGTTCAAGTCTGTCTTCTCTAGAATAAAATGGAGATAAGTTAGGCATAAGGGGAGTGGGAAGTGGTATGAGGCACTGGAACTGCAGATAAAAATGTTTTTATGGCCTGAAGAGGTTTAGGACCTTGGATTTTGGGGCTAAGGTAAACATGAAAAAGATGAGTTTACTTGGAGTAGCTAGTCTCGAGTTTTATCCAGAGATGTGTACTTTGGGCACTGGCATGAAAATTTTGGATCCAGACCTGCTCCATAACAGGTAACTAGCACACGTATACAGACTAGGACACATGCCCAGTACCTGAGGTGTACACAGAGACTAGAATACACGTGCAGTTAAGGATTTATTGAATTTGTTGGTGTATTAGTATGGAATCTGGGGCTGGTTTGAACAAAGTTCATATGTTTTTAAAACCTATGAAAGTTTGTAAAATATGAACATAGACAAAAGTAGTAGTTGAAGACCTTAGACTGAGTGGCTGTCCCAGGCTTTATATGGTTAAGGTGGGGACAGAGGTCTGTTTTAACACCAGTCTCACCTTGAGTCCCCTTTCACCTTTGCAAACCCTAACATTTGCTCAGTGTAGGTATTGTTGGTGTTTACAACCAGGTTTAGTGATTATTATTCAGTATCTACTATTCATTATTCAGTTTAGTAGATTTACTATCATATGTACTAATTTCTTTGCATATCATTGCATTGTGTTCCTTCTTCCTTTTGTGACTAATTCCTTCTTATTCAAGTAAATCTATCAGCAAAAGAAAAGTACTGTGAGCAGTAAATAATCTTTTTCCCCTGCATAATGTCCTTATTTTTCTGTTTTGAGTGATTGATTTAGCATGGCTATAGAAATTCCACTGAGCTTTTTGTCCCCCTTAGCACTTTCAACATGTTATTCCATTGCTGTCTTGCTTTTATTTTTGCCAATGACAAGTTGCAGAGTCTGTTTTGTTTTTTTCTTTCTGGTTGACTTTAGATTTTTTTTTTCTATCTTGGTATTTGTGATTTCTTTTTGATATATCCATGTGTGAATTTGCTTTTATTTATGTTGTTTAGGTCTTGGAGTTTTTCCATGAGGATTCATATCTTTTATACATTATCTTTCTTTCCATATTGTGTTTCTTCCTTTCTTTTTAGATTGCTGCACACACACACAACTTAAAAAATTACTACTTATATTTGATATTTTGATGTTTATGAAATGGTAGGAAGAGATGCAAGTCAGTATCTATGTATTCAGATATAAATCTCTCATATTTTTCAAAATGCATTATTATACTATTTTGTCTAGTCCAAACTATGCTTCTGCTAACCTTATTACAATTCATATAAGCCATGGGGAGAAGAAATATGCTGCATTAACACATCAAGATTTACAGCCTATAAATATGGTCTTGTTCTTTGAGGGTCAGGCATCAGTCATAATGTGTTTGATGGTTGTAGGGGAGGATGTGAAGGAAATAGTCCTTTAAGGGATAAAACGATTACTTAAGACATTTAAAGAATAAAAGAACAATGTGAAAACCATGGAGTGGTTGGCTATTCTCAACTATGTACCTTTAGGAGATATTAGAACTAGCCAAATGTGAGAGAAAGAGTCAAATTACAGTTAGTTTTGATTATGGAATCACCATATGAATAATATGGGGCCCTTATAGAATTCGCCTCTTGAAACCTTAAGTTACTATTTTTGCTTAACAAGTATAATTTCCCAGATTGCCTATCTTTTGATTTGTGTATGGTTAATGCACAGTCTGTTTCAAGCACAGAGAACTTAACTTAGCATAATAAGGTTTCATTTGAAGTATGAAGTATAGCTTTCTCTGTTTTTTATATTTCTCTCAATTGAGAGAAGGTTGAACTCTACCTAGAGAAAAAAGCATTGTGTTCCGAGAGGCAAATGGTGAAGTCTGACTGGGAGAATCATACACTTCATATAAGTGAGATAGGATCTCCCAAATAAAGTGAGGTCTATGGAAATAGAATGTAGGAAAGGTGACAGAAGAGATACCAGGAAATAAAATGTTTGGTTATATTGAGTATATGTTAAATATTTATTTTGATTTTCAGCTCTCCATTGTATAAGCTGTTTGAATTCTGTTGAGTTTATACCCCTAAATATTTGACTGTAGATCGAGCCAGATTTGAGTGATTCAATTCTGGGTAGGTGTGTTTGCTGTTTTCAGTTAATGACTGTGTCTTTTATTGGTCTCTTGTGCTGGAGGTATGAGGTGCCAGTTTTATCCATAGTTTATTTGGCTAGCACCATATAGCAGGTGGAAATTCTACTTAGAGACATGGAGAGAAAATGGTTGGTGTTTTACTCTCAGATAACTCATTGCTTCCATTTTTATCTCTTTGTAGCTTTGAAGCTCAGCAAAGAAGGGAAATCCATTGAGAACAGTCTGTAAAGGTAAGTGTATTTATTACATGGCCTTGACAAACATTGCCTTTACAACATTGATTTTTCTTTTATTCAGAGATTTAAACACTGGGATTAAAGATATAGCTGACAGGGCAACTTCGTTAACCACCTGCTTGTCCTCCCGTATAGGCAAAAGTGCTGAGCAATAGTTAGCAGAGAGCAGGAAGAAATAAGATGATGTGCTGAGGGTAGCCAAATGCAATTGTATGCTTGCTGACTTCTGCTTTCTTCTCAGTAGTTAAGATATTTCAATGAAACTAAGTTTACTAAGATTAATGCTGGATGAAAAAAGAATGCTCTTGTACCACTTCTGGTCAATAGTTAAATAAAATCATCTGGTCACATAAAACATTTAAAATAAAATGGAGAGTGCCATTTCAATTGGGTTGGATGAAGTTTATCATGAAAGTCAGTTGTGCAGTTGCGCGGAAGAGCTGGTTTTGTAGAAAGAAGAAAACCAGCCAGTTCAGGGTAGCTAATTTCATTCTCTCTAGCCACTGTGAACTCTAAGTAAGTTACAGGAAATGTACTTCCAAGTTTGAAGCAATGGGAAAGGTTCCTACTCAGCCTTCTATGAAACATTACAGTTGAGTTGTTTTTTTCATGGAAAAGTGTAATTGTTTCCTCTTTGGTAGATATATTTATAAGCATCCCCTGTACAGCATTGTTCTTTGATTCATTGTTTAATTTCTGTTCTGCATGAAGTATTTTAATTTAAAGAATTCATTCTGGGGAATTATAGAACTGTGGTTTCATGAAGAGTCTTTGGTTGCCAGGGTGAAATATTCCATAATTGTACATTTGTTTCCATCATCGATTATGTTTTTGACAATTTTAGATTTTCTGTCATCTTTATTTCATCAGTCATGACTTGACCACTTTAGTTAAAACTGAAGAGACATTTTGACTTACCTTGTATTTTAACTTATTCCTAAGTTAATGATAAATCTACTGCTGGGCTGAATTTTTAATGTTATTTTGAGGGAAAAAAAGAATTTTATAGGAAAATTAGGGGAAAAATCCATTTTTATTAATTAAAACATGCACTATAATAAAACACCCTTAGGTGACTAAGCTGGTCCATGAAAGCTGTTTAGTTTTCTTCAACTCTTGGCTATGATTGAAGAAAAACCTTTCTCATGAAGGGGATTACTTTCAGCCATTTAACTTCCATTGAGCCACATTTTGGAACGAAGCTGTACTTGGTAGTGTTTATGAAGAAATTCTCATAATTATTGGAGTATGTGAGGATATGTCATGTTGAAAGCCTGTGATCTTTAGCCTCATGGTACTCACGTTCCTCTTGGACAGGGTTTTCACAACAGTGCAATTCATGTCCTCTACTCTCAAAGAAAATCCTTTGTTGAATTAGTATTCTAGAGCCAGGCATGGGTTTTTGTCCTGGTTTGACTTTTATTAGTTGTTGGACCACAAAAAAGCTATTTACCTCCTGGAGGTGTCAGTGTCCTAACTTGTGAAATAGGGATAATAATATTGTTTTTTTTTCAAGGTTGGTGGGTTGGTGTGGAGATAAGTGAATTATTGTGTGTCAAAGTTTTACAAAGCAGATCCTGGCCCAACATAAGCACTCAGTAGGTCTTAAATGCTGCTGCTCTTGTTAATAATTACTATCATCTGTATCATCACGAATATTAGCAATCATATGAATTTATTCATTAGGTATTTTGAGATGTCTACTTTTGGGGAGAGTTTTCAAAATCAGCATGTTGTTAACATGCGGTAATTTCTACTTTGTCTTTAGCAATCAAATGAAAAGATAACTTTCAGGTATTATGAGAAGTGAGGTGTCTGGAAATAAAATGTTTTGAGGTTGATGTTTTGTAGGCATCAGGACAAGTACTTCTTTAGCTGTATGGTCAATTAATAATTATTATAATCTTAAGAGATTATGATTTACTGGTAGTTAGATTCTCAGGGGATTTTTGAAGAAAATCTTAGTAAGTAGAGAAGAACTTACTTCTCCACTGCTTCCACACCCTCATCCCTATCTTATATGGGTTTCCCAATACTAATGGTACCTTTATGTTCTTTTGACATAATTAGATTAGTGTAATGTAACCAGTCAGTCTAGGGATAGGTGCATGACCATAGCTTTGAAAACTGGATACACTTTCTTTGAGACTTGAGTCTTGAACTAAAGGATTCTTCTTTACAGTGAGCATTCTGCTCAGAAGTATCTGCTATGAAACCACTGAAGCAATTTCCATTTTCCAGACTCCATGTCTTTTTTGTTATTAGTGGTCTCCAAATTTATTTTTCAGTTTGTCATGGATTTGTAGAGCCTCCACTTTCCTCTCAGTGATCCTTACTAAAGTAGCCAATTGGTTTCTGTTGCTCGGAACCACAGAGACTTAACTGATCAAAAGATTTATCTATCTAGGAGCTAGGTTTAGAATACATGGGGGAACTTGGGGAGATTTATAATTAAAATACCATTTAATTGATTTACCATTTAATTAATTAATTAATAATTAATTTTCCATCATGTATAAGTAGCTGAATATTTGGATAGAGATTAAAAAATGAACAGCTTTTTTCCAATCAGTTTTCCAAAAATAGGTAATTTTTGTGGACCCCCCCAACTCCTGCGTTTTGTAAAAAGACATCATTCTTGACCCCTTATTTAAGCTCTGAAAAGTTATGTGTGCATGTGGGATTGGAAAAGAGAGGGGGGAAACAGAAGGGGCATACTTCCAATTTCCTGGGGGTTGGCTTGTTAGCAGCATGAGGATTGTGAAGTGGATCTCTTTTCCTTCAATTTACTCCAGTTTCCCCAAACAAATTCTTTATCTATTTTTCTACTTTCCCTAAAATTTATTTCTCTTTTGAACACTTTTCTTGCCCCTACTGAGCACCTTCTTTTCAATGATGTGCAAAATGTGATTGAAAATTCAATTACTTTGGTCTCTGACATTACTTGTAGTTTCTGAGAATGGAATAGGCAAGTTTGCTCTATTTCCCCTTGTGTCTTGTATGTTGACTACTTTTGTGTTTTGTACAGTGCCCAGAACAAAGATGGTTAATGATTTTTCATAAGGATATCAATTTTGCATTCCTACACTGAATAAATAGCACAACAACATTATATGGTGGAAAGATCCTTAGCTGAGGTGTTAGGAAACATTCTGCTTTCCAGTTTAGACTGCTGCTTGCTAGCTTTATGATTCTGAACAAGATAACTAATTTTTCTTAAGCTTTCAGATTCCTCACTTGTATAATTGGGATAACTCTATCCCTATTTACTACATAGGGCTGTTTGGAGGATGACATAAAGATTATGTATGTGAAAGTGCTTAACAAATTGTAAAGTTCTTTATAACATCAATACATTATTATTATTCCACACATGTATTAAATGGATTACAAAATGGGGGGCTTGTTTTATGAAACTGACTGGGAAAGGGGGTAAATTAAACAAGTCAAAACCCTGTCTAGTGCTTGTGCACGGTGTTACCTGTTTGTGCCTGCATCTCCTCCCTTCCCTGAAAGACCCCATGTTCTAGGAGGCTAACCTCTGTTGCATGCATTCCATGGACCCCCTTGCTCTCTGGCTTTCCTCTGGATTTGTTAATGGAGTCAGTGGGTGAAGATCTGAGACTGAGGTTAGAATATTACTTCCCACCTCATTTCAAGATCACACTCATGGGTGATTCAAGTAATTATTTACCCAGTCATTTTTAAGTTTGTCAAAGGCTTTGGGAGGAACTGTGCCCCATAGAAGTGGATAAGATTCTTCTTCTTCTTTTTTTTTTTTTTTTTTTAGCTCATCTAGTTGTTACTTTGTCTTGTCTAAAAGCATTGTCCCTGTACTTAACCCTGATCTTACAGGGACTTTTCTGAGTATCTCCTAAAATAACATCCAGGGGAATGTAAAACCCAAATAAAGAGAAACTTTAAAGTCTTTGTTCTATTTGATTTTCATTCCCCTTCCCACCCTCCTGATTGTGGCATTTCTTATTTATTGGGCAAGGAGAAAAGCAGTAAAATTTGGCCTGGGGTTTTCTCATCCCTAAGTGTGAAATTATTTCAGAACTATAATAATAATACTTTGCATTTCTATAGTTCTTTTATTTGAAGATCTGTGTTCTGTTGGTGTTAATAGAGCTTCCCAGCACCCTCTGAAGTAACTAAGTATTATTAGAGGAGATTTCCTTCAGGAACATATCACTTCATATTCCATGTGTGACTTGAAAATGCTTTTGTATTATTTGGGACTCTCAACTATTTGAAGTGCCACATATATAGAACACTTATTTATATTCAGGATCCACTAATTCTCAGCACATTGAGAAAATAGTTGTTTCTCATGAGTGGCTATGATAATGTTTAGAGAAAATTAAAATGAAACATTATTCCTGCCTTTTATTTGAATATTATGAAAATATTTAGTAATGTTCATAAGCAATTGAACTGATGATCTTATAGTTATTTTTCCTTTTTTTTTTTTAAGATTTATTTATTTATGTATACAGATTGGGGCACAGGCCAGAAGTGCAGGGGACGTGAGAGGCTTCACCAGAGTCAGAGTGGGGAGCAGAGCAGGCAGACTGATGAAATGCACTGTTGAGGGGAGCAGTGGGACAGGTAGGAGAGATCTGCTGCGCTATGTGATCTCCTCCAGGATAAGGATAGAACTCGCACTGAAGTGGCTGTCACTAGCTTGCAGTGGTGTGTCCTAACCCACTGCGCCACCAGGGAGGGCCTATTTTTTCCTTTTTTTAAGGTAACAGATTTGTAGGAATGTATTGAATAAATAGTGGGGACTTGACTTGGTAGTGTGATGTCCTTTGGGAGCTCATGAGTTGTCATGTCAATTAAAAATAAAATAGAAAAAAAATGCAAACAGCATGAGACAGTAGAGTAAAAGGACTAGTATTTCAGAGAGGAAAAACAAAACTAACTAAATTGAGTTTGCATTGTGATTTAAAGTTTGCATACTTAGTTACATTTTTTTCCTCTAAATGATG